ACCAGGCTACACAACATGGACATGGCTTAAACAAAGATTCAAATGATGCTAGCTTTACTGAGTCCTGACCAAGTACTCCTAATGTCTTTATCATGATGGAAGAATGATTTATTAAGATTTCGAAAAGTTTAAAATATCACCTAGGTACAGAAGAGTAGATCTTCTCAATGCTTCTCATTAAATTCAAGTGATTACAAACTGGCACATTTTTTTTCCATCTTAAAAATTTAGCTCATCTCAAAAATTATATAAACTGCCTTTGGTGAGGTTTAGGTATCAGCAAAAAGCTATCAAATATAAAATTGCCCGACTGTCTCTCAAAATCTGTCTCTAAGATTAACTACAATCTTCTCATTAAGGATTGTAGAGCACATGTCTTTTGCTACCTTAGGCCCAGTGACAAAAGCCTCTGTTACGCAATCTGGAAACATGGCACAACCCTGTGTTAGACAAGGTGTCTATGAGAAGGTTAACTTGGTAAGTGGCTTCTCTAAGTCCTTTCCACAGCTCTCAACCATTTTTCTGCCTTTAAATCCTTTGGAAGCTGAAGAATACTGGATGACATAATAAAGATCCCTCTGGTGACAAGCTGTAAGACTGTTGCCTTGTATAATTGTCTCATGGATGTTATCTTCTCCTGGAAGTGAAAAGTATCTCAAAGCAGAATATGTATCTTTCAACCATTTGAATCACACTCTGGGCTCATGGAAGAGCCTCAATCTGAGATGGTAATGCCAACTGGAATTGTAGGTAGGACTGAGGAAGAGACTAGACTTGTGCCGACAAAATGGTGCTGCCCACCTAATCCTTTTGTTTCCTTAACTGGGTCACACAACAGCTGTTCTGGGCCTAGCCATCTGCCATTAGGAATTCAAAACGTATTACGACAGAGTGTCTGCTGCCAAAGACATTCTCAATCTAATGATGGGAGCCAGAGGGTTGAATGACACCCTTGAGTAAGTAAAGACTCTTTCTCATGGTATGTAGAACCATATTAAATGGTGGTGGAGAAGACATATTCTGCACTCAGTTGTGCTCCAGAAAGACCCAGTGTAGGAAGTCATGCATGAGAGAGTTTACAGTACTGTGCTCTCATGTTTCTAAATTTTGTGGTACACAGCTCTGACTCCAAGTTCCTGATTTCATTGGCTCACTGTTGGGTTTGTGCTTCTTTTCACTCTTTGGTAGGGAAATCTACAGTCTGTCTGGAGTGCAAAGAACTTCCTTCAGCTTGTCTTTACCTACGCCTACAGGGAAATCTCCTCTGGTAACTTGTTAGTAACAGCTGTTGAAATTTCAGTGGGGTCTACAAATGTGTATGCACACTCACAGTTGAAATTTATTTTATCATTCAGCTAGCTCATTAACCTTCTCTTTCCATTTCCTTTTTTTCTTTTATAAGATTTTATTAAAGTATATTTTAATGTAGCTCTTAAGCACAGAGATTAATAGAAAGTGGCATTCAGGGAAAGAATAAGACATACCCAAGAGTGGGTATGGATTCTCAAGAATTGCCTTCTCTCAATTTCTTGAATGTCGTGCTCTACATTAACAGAATATATATATATATAACAGAATATATATATATATATGGACAGATTAGAGGTAAAAAAAAATCTGCTAGTCAATTTAATGGTCCTGAATCAGTCACTGTATTTGGTGGGTTTTCATTAACAGAATATATATATATATAACAGAATATATATATATATATATGGACAGATTAGAGGTACCTAAGTAGAACAGACCTTCCTTTTCCATGTGTATAATCAACAGCAATTTATTTCATACACATAGAACCACAGGCATGAAATTATTCACAGCAGACCTAGAGAGATGGCTCAGCAGTTAAGAGCACTGACTGCTCTTACAGAAGATCTGGATTCAATTCCCAGTAACCACATAGTAGCTAATAACCATCAGTAACACCAGCTCCAGGGGGTCTGATGCCCTCTTCTGACTTCTGCAGTATGTTGATGCCAAAGTGAAGCTGTCCCCTTCTCAATGTATCTATGTAAAAGTCTGAGTCAAAGTATGTAGCGGTTTATAACAGAGTATGTGACTGTGTACACATATAGGTCAATATGAGTAAATGAATCAGTGTATCAGGGAGAACTCACGAATGAATGTAAATATCAGTAATTGCCTGCCATGTGTGGTCAGTAACTGCCTGTATGTGTACATGTATGCATCTCAGTGAATTGTCTGCTGCAATATAAATTGTGTGTGTCGGGGCAGTATGTAACAGTAAAACTGCAAGTCAGTTACTATAAATATAAGGCATGTCACTATGTGTACAATGGTGTAAACGTATGTAGCAATATAAGGGTGTATCAATATGAGCATATGTATGTGCTAATATGTGCCAATGCAAATAGAGTTGTATGGAGGTGACTGTGTATGAGTGTGAAAAGGAAAAGTAGTAGCTGCCAGTAAAAATGATTACGAAAATAAGTACATGTATGGTTATAGTTCAGGCTATGTATCTGCAAGTGTGGCATTAAATATGATGAATACATATATATCGGTGTGGAGAAAGGAACTGCATGAGTGTCAGTGTGTGTCAAAATGTGTATCTCCATGTGTACATATGATTTTATGTGATGACTATGGTGGGGGGATGGAGGATGGCTTCAATGTCGTGTGTGTGTGTGTGTGTGTGTGTGTGTGTGTGTGTGTGTGTATGACTCCAAATCTGAGTGCAGCAATGCAAGAAAGTGTAACAACTGAAAAAATATAAAAATCAAGTAGGTGAGATGGCATTTACAAGCATATATACAGTTGGATTAAGAGTGTGTGTGCTCATTTGTTTGTCCCTGAGCAATATGTGTGTGACTGTGAGGAGGAAATGATGATAATCTCAGTGTACACATTCTGAACTATATGAAACTGAACATGTGTATGGTTGTGAATGAGAACCAGTTTGAATGTAGGCAAGGGGAAAGTTAGGCTATGTCTGTGCATACTGTGACTTTGATTTTGTAGGTGTTTTGGTGGGTAAGGTTGACTATATCATGTATAAGAATGTAAGAGAATATAAAATTGTACACAATTCTAAGAATATAAAGGCACGAGTGGTTAAGAGCATGACCATAGACTGAGTAGTGTATGTGTATCATAGTGAAAATATAAATATATGAACATGAATATGCACCCATGTGTACAGCATGAACATGCCTGCACGCAGTATGCTTATAAATTGAGTGTATGTGAGAGTTATCGGGTATCAGTGATATGTGAGTGTAAATCTAGGGGGCAAATGTGACTGCATGTCCACTGATTAGTATCACAATAACATGTGGTGCGAGGAACCTCTCCAGGATATCTTTCCTTCCAAAACGACAGCATATCTCCTTAGAGGCAAGTTACTAAGACTGTCTCAAGATCTGTACCATCAATGATAAAAATGAACTTGAACTAATGCCACTTGTAGATTCAGAAACAGAAATAGTAACTATTTGTGAAAATATCTACCTTATAGTTTACTATTAGAGGAAGTGACATCTAACTAAAGTGTCTAACACAGAGCTGACAACAGCAGAAAACCTGTATGAATATGCACATGTGCTTATGGGTCACCATTCATATGTGTGAATCAATGTGAATAGGTGTGGGACAATGGGGTTATCTTGGAATGGGATATCTATATAATAAATAAGAGTTATTATTATAGCTGTCACAGAACATCCAGGAGATCTTCAGGCTTGCTTTTTATTTTTTGTCAGTTCTAGTTACTTTCTGTCAAAGTCTAAAGAGGATCCCTGACCAGAACATCTCTAGAAAGTTGAATGCGTCAATATCAGCAAGGCTGTAATTTCATACCTTCAGTTCCATGGCTGAAACTCTGGCTCTTCCCTTTCATGACAAGGCATCAGAGAAACGCCTGCTGCTGAGAGATACTTTGACCCTGTCCTGTAGGCCCAAAGTATGCTCAGTGTAAAAGGATTTGGACTGTATATTCCTTGTTCCTTGGTCTTGTCAGATGTGCTTTTAGTTACTTATTTTCTTTGGTTACTTTTGGCTTGAGTAACAGGAAAGATGTCTAAGCAGCTGACAAAGAGACAGACAGCGGGCCAGACACAGAGACACAGGGACAACAAGCTATAAATAGGTAGCTAGGATGCAGAGTATAGAAGGGCTGATGGAGAAGCCAACAGAGGAAGCCATGGTGACTGCTTGAGAGGCGGCAGCAAGATAGGCAGATGACAGGCAGAGGAACCAGAAAGCAGTAGAGGAAGAGAGACAGGCCCAGTCTGCAAAGCTGCTGGTCAAGCGTTGGACAGTTGCAAAGGAGAACAGAGATCTGTTAGAGTTAGTCCCTGCCTTTGAGGGCCTTATAATCTAGATTTCCTGCTTAGATTAAACAATCCAGAAACCCTTCAAGAATGATTTAAGGTGAGAGAAAAGCAGTCTATGCTTATAGTTTATGTTGCAGACTCACGCTAGGGAGCTTGGGGAGGAAGTATGCCCTTATCACCCGGTTAGGTGGCAAAGCAGAGAGAAGGTTCCAGAAAGTTTTAGCTAAGGCTGCCATTCTCAGAAGCAAGGGAAAGTGGGCTGGGAATACATTTGAATATGAAGGGTAAAATTAAGATTAAGGGGCAGTGTAAACCACAGGAACTGATTGGCAGATTTGAAACATGTGGCTGAAATGCCACTTAGAAACACCAGGAAAGGAGAAAAAGAAATGGCAGCTTGATGGGAAGCATTTTTTTGTGTTACACTGAAGCTCTTAGATGATGCTTGACATTTGCAAAGGACTTGGCAATGGCTCTTATGTTATTTCTCCTCCTCACCTCAAAATGTAGGTCAAGGCTGTCACGCTCATATTAAAGATGGAAGAACCAAGAGACAAAGGACAGTTATAACAGACTGAACTCTCTGGAAAGTAGGAATCATGCCCTGAGGCCTAACTGATGAGGCCTGAGCTCAGGTGAGAAGGCAGCATTTACCTGGATTTCAAGACCTTCTAACTCCCTGCCCTGAAATCTATTACTCACCTCACAATGCCACCGCTGCAGGACTTCAGCACAGGTGACTGCTGCCCATGAGAAGGGGCCAGGCGGGCTGGTCAGCTCTGATGGACTCAGTGCTGGGCACAATGGCTGTCAGAAGATGCCAGGACTTTTCTTCAATTTCTTAGGGGAAACCTGCCAAGAGAAGCATTGTGGGGAGATGGAAACTTTCTCCACCTGCTACTACTCTATCACCCAACCCCATATATGTTAGAGAGGGAGAGAGAGAGAGAGAGAGAGAGAGAGAGAGAGAGAGAGAGTGAGAGAGAGAGAGAGAGAGAGAGAGAGAGAGAGACAGAGAAAGAAATGGTAAACTTTGGCAAATTCTTTAAGAAGGCTAAAGAGAGGTAAGACGTGGAAAAACATAGTTACTTAGAATTTTGAAAGGTGTATTGAACTGGGGGTTTAGGAGATGACAGCTACAGGTTAAGAACTACTGCTTTGCCACCTTACCACTCTGGCCCTATTTGTTATCAAATGTAAAGACTTGCTATTCTAGTCACCTAGACAAATACTGAGAGGGCTAAGCCAAATAAAGGTATATGTGAAATATTTATATAACTTTCAGAATTATGTATGAATCTGCACACTAATCCTAGATGGTATAGTCTACTGCACAATAGTAAACAGAGGTAATGGCCAGCAAAGGATGACTGAGAACATCTGAGCTTCCTGGGAATCTGGCACTACTATTCAGTTCTTTCATCCCTCATCTCCAGGTCTCTACCTTCATTCAATTCCTCCCACCACCAACTTCTTTCAGTTGGTGGACTGGTAGAGAGTGGAGAGGAGAGTCTCGCTCAGTCCAGAGCACCATGGGGTCCCTATTACCTGAAAGTCATGGAGGCCCTGAACCTCTGACTCTAATTTGAACTTCCCTCCTGTCTTCAACAAACAAATGTCTTCCACTACCTGCCAGCCTTCCCTAGGTGAATGCACACTACTCATTGTTGTTCTGGTGACAATTTACCTTGTTCTCGTCACACAAGTTTTATGCCTGTGATGGAAACAGGATCTGTCTCCCCCTCTCTCTCTCCCTCCCTCCTTCTCTCTCTCCCTCTCTCCCTCCCCCTCCCTCTCCTTCCTTCTCTCTTATCCTAGAAATTGACTCCAGAACTATGGTGTCTTGCATGCTAGGCAATCCAATATACCACAGAACTATATCTGCCAGAAATAGGGTCTCTTAAACACCTCCATTATCTGCCTTTCCCACAATCACTTGAGCCTCTCCAGGAAAAGGCTTGTTGTCCCGTTGTATGATTCCAAGCTCTGCGAACCCTATACTATTTCCCCCTTCACTCCTTTCAAACACTTTTACTCTGAAAGAAAAGCAACAATATGCTAATTCAAATGGAGGCTAGCACCCATTTTATTAGAGGCCACCAGAATACAGAGCTCTAACCCAGAGAAAGAGAGATGGATGGATCGATGGATGGATGGATGGATGGACAGATGGATGGATAAATGAATGTCTAAGGTTTGAAAAAGTAAAACTGAAACTTTAGGGAACCAAGAAATCCCCATGTTCTCTAATTCCACTTCTTAGGTAAAAGGACAATGCCATACCCTGTGTCTGTCTCTTGTTCTGGGAGAGATCCCAGAGCATATATGACCCCCAGCATCCTTAGCATTACTTGTGTACTTCCCACATGCATACTCCCTAAAAGACTTTCCAAATCTCTCCCACTGCATCACTGAGTGGTGTACCACCTCCTCTTTCTCTACACGAACTCACCCTGCCAGATGGTGAGGTAGAGGGTGGGTAGTAAGGGCTGCAAAAACTCCAGAGAGGGGCAATGCTTGAGGAGGGTCAAGAGTAGCCCACTCCTGAGACAGGGCTTACTGGGGAGGTAGCATCCCCTTATGGGGATGAGGAAGAATGCCAGAGAAAGCAGGGTAGTAGATGCACCAGTCTGTACTAACCAAAAATTTCCTTATTCTTGAGTTTCCTTTGAGTGTACTGCTGCCTTCACCAAACTACCCCGTTTGGAGCACCATATAGTAACTTTATGGCAGCTTGCATTGAACCCACCAGTTATATTGATTTAGCCAGTGCAGAAGCAACTGGCAAGATACACGGCCCACCACATGGCTACATTCCTTTCCTGACAGGGTGTATTTTTGGGGGACGGGGGGTATTTAGTATGTGAGGATATGCACATGCTTCATTATGTATACCTGTGCTGCTCCCTACACATTGTTATATGTATAGGATGTACCATGTCTATACCATGTTGTACTTATACTGAGCCTGTATTGTGTTGTATGTGCAGTGCTGTACATATCATGTTGTCAGTATGATATTGTTTATGTATTTTATTTCTTTAATATATTGAATGAGATTGCACCTCTACCATGCCACATATATGTACACAGCCGGTGTCTCATTTATAGTGTGTGGCATATATGCTCATGCCACATTGTGTATCTTACCTTGTGGTGAGTATTTCATGCCTGTATCATATTGTGCATTTATACTGCTTTGCTTTCTACCTGTAGCTCAGCCTCCTGTTGTAAATGAAGGCAGCATCTTGTACATACACAACTTCCCCATCTTGCCATGCTGCATTTCAACTTCTTGCCAGAATCCCTGTGTGGGACTGGGACTGCCAGCTTTGAAAAGAGGACAACAATGCTCTCTTCTACCGAATCCTTCATGCTGTCTTACCCTGCCCTGAAGATTTCTGAGAAAAACACCTCAATCCTTTTCAGGCCTGAAGAAGGAAAGGGCACTAAGGAGGGAGAAGGGAGTGGGTGCCTCCTCTCTAAACCCATCCACACTGGAAAAGAATGATTTGGATAAATCAATAGCTCCCTGAGTTTCTCCCTGAGCTTCTCCTTCAAACTCAATGGAAGGACTAGAACTTTTGCTTTATCTGGCTACTGGCACCCAGGTGGGATCCTGGGATAGCGAAGGAGAGCTCAGCAAAGGTGTCTCCATACAGTCACTAGGGGGCGCTATTGTGTTGCCTGTTAGGGACTGTGGTCTGCTTAGGATGTAGAATTCCTAAGAAGCCATTGGGCTCAGAGATGAGGGGAAAAGACACCACGGAAGAAGATTGACACCTCCAAGCTAGGCTTTTCCTTTCCATTCACCCCCAAGCCCTTTCTGTTTTGAGACTGAATTAGGGAATAAGAGCAGTAGTATCGGTGTCCTCTCCTCCAGCAGTCTGTCTATAAAGCACAGCTTTGCAGGGGCTTGGTTTCGGGGCCCCTAGCACATAGACTTAGACTTCTCTTCCTACTTGCTCCCCATTCCCAGGAAATAAAAGTGAAACCACACTACTAAAGATGAAATGCATAGATGTCCGTTTTGTGCGCACCCCTCCCAAACTGAAGGGCATACAAAATGGAGTGTGATAAGGAAGTGGTATTTTCTTTTGTTGGGGAGGGCTGTACTTTATTGGCTTTCTTCACTACCAAGAATAAAAGGATCCGCTACCTAAAATGTCACCACAACCTTAGAGAACACCTAGCCTAACTCCATTATTTGAAGAACAAGCACAGAGTACCAAACACACCCAGACACAAGCACAGAGTACCAAACACACCTAGCCAAGTTCTGATTTCTGATTCCCAAGGCTCATACTACCCCAGGTTCTACCGTGCCTTCCCCCAAAAATCCTTCTCTAAATTCAACCACCGTGAACCTTTTCTCCCCCTCAACTTTGTAAGCTTCTTGGTGGTTCACCTCAGGATCAGGCCTCTGTGAAAATACATTTGGAATGACTCCTCTCCACCAGTAAATTGTTAATTTCTTCTCAGACTTCAAGGTCCACTTCCCTTTTTTCTCTTCCTGACGCCCCCCCCCCCCCCCCCCCCCCCCAAAAAAAAAAAAACAGGACATGTACTGTTTTACCCCCCTCTTTGTATCCCCTGGGTGCAGCACAGATTGCCCCAACCCGCAGATAATTGACCGAATGTGCAAATCAGACACGGATCTATTGCATTGATTAACATTTCCAATTAAACTCCCGTTTAGGCTGTATGTATTAGTGACTCAAGTAATCACCAAGGCATATGGAAATGCAGATGCCTTCTAACACCATGGAGCGTAGCAGGAAGTGCCACATTTCTGAGAAAAGATGCAAACAGACTGACCTGGAGGTTCATTTAGTTCTCTGGCACTCCTAAATCAGATTTTAAATGTAAGACTGTTAGTTGATCCAAGGCTTGGGGCTTTACATCTGAAATGGAGGACTTGGGTCTCTGCATGCCCTTTCCTGCCCCCTGCTGGAGAAGCTATTTATTTGGAGTTGGCCTCAGAGTTCATCCTGGGCCTGCAAAGGGAACCACCTATCTCCTGGCAGGTGTGGGGTGTGTGGGGGTTGGGTGTTGGGAAGCAGCTAAGGCTTAAGCTGTGCTCCAGATGTCTGAACAGCTGAAGTTACCTTCCAGGGTAAAGGTTTTCTGTTGTCCCTGGTGGACATGAGGTCCCAGGGGCCCCTGGGAAAGAGGATTTTGTTGTTGATTTTTTTTTCCTCAAACCTGGGCCTAACTCACCCATGTATAAACAATCTCTTGTCTCAGCCAGATTATTGCTCTCCTGTTCCCATTTGCCCCCGCCCCCCCACTTATCCCCTATAGGAAAGAGCTGAATGTTGAGACTTTAGTCATAATATTTCTTCTCTTTTGGATAAAGCTTCTGGGTCCTGAAGATGGGTTATACAGATGGGAATGCCATTAATTCCCTAAATGGCTAGAACTCTTCCACATTTTTGATTGGACCATAGCTGCCTCAACTACTAAAACTTTCCCATCTCACCAAGGAAACTAAGGCTCTTTGGCTCCTGGTAAGATGATGGATTTTCTTCTTCTCTCTCCATTTCTTTTCTCCTACCTACTCCATTGGGTTTGAGCTATTCCATCTGGAAAGATCTCAATTCTTTTTTGTGTTGGTTCTCCTCTTTGACCTTGTACTTAGCTTAACTTCATAACAGCGGGGTCTCTGGTGGCAGCAGCTTTCCATCTCTGCCATTGTTTCTCATCTCCCTCACCTATCAAATCCATTATCCAGTCTTCTCTAAGCCCTCAGCAAACTTGTTTGCTCTGTACACCATTCTATTTCTGAACAGAAAATAATCTACAATGTGGAAATGGTCACCCATTTAGAATGTTCATAGGGTGTTGTGGCC